CTCAACTCCTTGACCCCTAAGAGTGACCAGCATCTAATTTCTCCTTACAATATCCCCCTGACACACACATTAAGGTCATGAGAATAAAAGAAAGGATCACATGTTAAAGAAGCTCTTGATTGTCCAACAAATTCTCCTCGCCAGCACTTCAGGGAAAGTATAGTGAACAGTATGGAGAATATGCATGCTGATGTAGGAATGTAAAAGGTTAAATGCGGAATGTTTCTTACATGCAGAGGACGGCTGTTGAAGAAAAAAAAAAAGGAGTGAGAAAAATGATTCGAAAAGCGGGCACAAGTTATAGTTTCAGTTTGTTACTATTGTTGTTAAACGGTGATTTCCCTTTCCTTTCATAGCTCCCTGAACTTAGCAACTACATAAACGAAGGAGGTGGATTGCCAGTGGTATTCTCACAGAATCTGGGCATATTGACGGGAGTATCGATAATGCTGACGATAGCTTTGTATGAGAGTTAAATAAGTCATGTTATCTTTTAGAACCACGAGATATTTGTAATTACTAATACTGCAAAAGCGAACAGGCGCGCAAGGGTTAATTTAGTTTGAAATAAAACTCTATTTATTTCACCTCAGACAATTATGAAATTATGGATTTAAAATAATTCGCTTGAATTGTAATTTTTATAAGATTTTTGTCTTAAAATGTGGAGCTTGCCTGGATTATTGACGAATTTACAGGTAAAGTAAAACAAGCGGATTTTGTTTTAAATGAAAACGAAAAGGAATGATATAGGTATATTTTGAATAGATCCCATTTTTTAATGCAATCATTTTGGCATGGTAGTTTGGGATGGTATCTCAAATATGATATTCAAATTTTAATTTTAAAAGGGGCTTAAATTCTTACCAGAAAGAACCTTGATAAGATATAGTCAAATTTTTACGAATTCTTCGGAATAGTTTCTTGTTGGTTTGGTTTGTTGTTGTTGTTGTTGTTGTTTACACCCCCCATTTTACGCCTTTAAATCATCGATTTGGTGCATATCAACTAAAACATTTTAAGTTAAAGTTAACCCTTTTTGTTTTCATTTTGCCTCAAGGAGGAATTCATTAACACCCAGCGTTATTAAATTTCTGTGTCACAGAATATCATTTTACGATTCGTGAAATTGAGTTGTAATTATCTCTAATGCACGAGCTCATTTGAAAGCAGTACAGGTCGTGATATCAAAATTCTCGTAAAATGTAGAAGTTTCATCATTTGGCGTCCAAACACACAAAGAGTATTTGATCAATTTAAGTGACATTTTACCAATATTTAAATTATATTAGGTAATTTTACGAAACGACGTCGCATATAGCGTAAGGGCGTCACCATGGTTTTAGGTTATTTTCATCGCTTAATTCCTCAACCCGGTTTCGTAGTCTCCCTTCTCTCCAACCCCTCAGTTTTGAAGGGGGGTCGAGGTAGGGGAGACACATTGGGATTGAGGTTTTTTAGTTTTCTTCTTTTTCCAGCTAGTCTAGCAAAGATCTAAGGAATCAATCTTCTCCTTTAACAGTTTTCGGACCGATGTCAGTAGCTTAGAAACTGCGCACCTATCCCCCCCCCTTCCCTAACCCAACAACAGTCAACCGATTATGTTGGGTCAGGGGAGGAGTGGGTGCGCAGTTGCTTAGATACGGACGTTGACCCCATTTTTCCACCGTTTCTTGGTACATTAGTGGTAAGAATCTCATAACCTCTCATCACATTAGGATCTATGTGTAACACTTCCTAAGTTTTTTTAAACTTTTTGACCATAGCTAGCCATCTGTTTCTATTTGTTTTATTCGTAATTGGTACAATTCTTTGAATTGTAGAACAATAACCTTTATCTCAAGTGAGAGACACAGTTCCACTTAAAGGTGTTACTTCCTGGGCGCGGTACGTTCCATCATGCTTGTCTAAGAATGTAATCTTGTGCCCAGATCCCAACGTGTAATTGTAACTGAGCGTGAAAGGTCTGGGTACCAGACTAGCGAGAATGGTGGAACAAGATCAGTTCCTTTCTCTTTTGAAGATAGTTCAAGGGGGAAGAATCAGGGTGAAAATTTTGCATGGACTTCGGTACTTGATTTATACTTTAATGTTTGTAAAAAGGGTTCTTTGTTGTGGGTCTTAATGGGGCTTTTACGGCTAATGGGTAACATTTGGGCCATTAACACAAAATGACACATTGTAGGAAGGAAAGTTTTAACGATTAACTGTTTTGTATGGCTAATGGCAAAAATTTGTTAATTTTTACGTCTAAAAGCCAAATACTTTGGCTATTCTACGGCTAACTGTTAGCCCTATCGAGACCCTCTTCGTAGCGGGTATAGAGGGTGTGAGCCAATCTAGGTGCAGACCCGGGGCCAAAGGGATAACAACAGGTCATGCTGTTTTCCATAGTAGGGTAACAGGTTCCTTCTCGTCGCAGTGGATGGCCATCTAGTGAGGAAAATTAATCTTACGTAGACAGAAAAACCATAATCACTAAAAAGTCTATATTAGCTTTACCAACAGTTGTGAGTCTACACATGATGAAAACGGCACCAGCAACTGCAAAACTGAACTCTGATTTTTCCCCAATTTATCTCTTTCCAAAAATACTGATATCGAAATCAGAGAAAACTTACCAGTACTCATAGAGGGTACAAATATTTCGCTTCGGCGTTTAAACGGGTGAAAGCAGAAGGTAACAAGTTCGGTTTTAGCCGTTTAATCGTTTGCTTTGGGTCAGTCGTTTTTGTCCTCTCATTCCCCGAAATGACCTAAAAGGAAGTTCTCACAATATAGATACCTTTGCAAGCAGAAAGGCGATGAGAAGAAAGAGAGATAACAGTTACGGTGTGTTACGTGGATCATTTTTAAAACCAAATCCTCAAAGCTAAAATTATAAGAAATGTATGACAAGCTGCGAGGAGAACTGATATTTAGTTTCGGGGAGTGAAAGCGTTAATTCTCATGCCCAGTCTCTTCCGTGTTGCGAATCTCTTGTAAAGCTTGTAGTACTTTTTGAAACACGTTAATTCGTTTGATTAGTGTTTTTTTTTTTACAACTTTGGACTTTGGGGAGATTTAATGCTCAAACTTGCATAACAGGCGCCTCGCTATCAGGGGCGCGGAGTTGAGTTATACATACTTGGTTAGACTTCTTATTAGTACGCGTCACTTAAATTCTCTTGGTAACAGACGCTTTTCTATCAGCGGGTTATCTTAGGAAGGATTTTTTGTGCGGGGTTGATGGAAAAATGTGACATATCGCAAGAAGTACCCCTGTTCAAAAACTGGCTTGTCAGTATTTTAACAGGGAAACCTGTCGGGAAAAAAAAAAAAACTTTTCAAGGACGAAATTTGCTGGTGTAGATGACAACTGCTCTTTTTTAAGGAGACATGTAAAGGATAGAAAGAAATTCTGCCCTGAAAGAGTTTAGTGATCGAGTGTCATTAAAACGTTCTCTTCAGCCCTTGGAAAACTTGCTTGAGGAAATGCCTCTCATATCTTGGCGTCTGATGTACAATGTACGATTTGAGCTTAACTTGGTTGCGTATTTTGTTTATTAGTTTTCAATAATTGTTTACAATATTTTATCGTGCGATTTGGGTTTGTGCGACCACGGGCGTGTTAAATATCAAGATCACTAGGACTCTTTTTTCCATGGAATCAGAATTCTTAAAGTTTTAAAGAAAAATGAAAATTATTTTAGTTACATGACTCCTAGCGAGTGATTTTCCGAACAACGACAGATGATATTTAAGAATCAGGATGACAAATTATTCAATAATTTTATAGATAAATATTTAATATCCTTAAAGACTGATACTGCTAGCTTTTCTAATGATTATGTTTCTGTGAAAAAAAGACTTAAGTGTTGTTGATCCAAATAAAGCTCAGTTTTGGGGGACATTTGTTGATCCGCTGTTGATTTTTGTGACTATTGCCTCCCATATGCCAGGAGACGAAGCCACTGAAAAAAGGGGATGAGTGAGTTAGCGATTAAGCGAGTGACAGTAAGTAACAATAGAATTCCTATCTTGACCAAGTTTTGACGCGATGTTTCCCGGTGTCTCTTTTATTTTTCGGGGTTTCTTATTAGTTCGACATTCGCGCTCGATACACATGCGGGTTCTCTCCTTTTGTGATTTCTTGCGTTGCCAATTTTTGATTTTGGACACTAGTGTCCTTTGCTTGATTTTGGACATATTATTAAATATTTGATTTTGGACACTAGAATGCGATATTTGATCAGTGGACCTTACTGTCCAATATTTCATTTTGGACACTAGAGTCCGATCTTTTATTTTGGACGTTATGATCCAATATTTGATTTTGGACACTAGTGTCACCAGTGTCCGATTTTCGATTTTGGACACTAGCCTCCGATTTTTGATTTTGGTCTCCAGTGTCCGATTTTCGCTTTTGGAATTAGTGTCCGATTTTCAATTTTGAACACTGATGCATGTATCCTGATTTTCCATTTTGGACACCGGTGTCCGATTTTTGATTTTCGACATTGGTGTCCGATTTTCCATTTTGGACACAAGTGTCCGATTTTGTATTTTAAACACGAGAGTCCGATCTTTCATTTTGGACACTAGCGTCCGATTTTCGATTTGGGATACTAGTAAAGCAAAACAGATAGAAATAATAATGATGATGGTGATAATAAAAGTAAATAATCAAACATAAGAATTTTAGATCAAGAATGTCACCTCTATCACAGGCGACCCAAGCTCTCTTTAAGAACTACTCAAGGAACACAATTTGCATATCAATTTATAAGGATTTGTATGGGATTTTCTCCAAGATATTCATGGAGATAGTTAAAAGTGAAAATATTAAATAAAAATGGCTTACCTTATTCCATACGTATGCTATTTCCTTCTGGTGTCGTTATTTCACCGATTTAACTTGATTTAAGCGGTTTTTTTTTAATCCTGGTTTTCTCTTCTTAAAGAAAAGACAAGTGTCTTCTCTTTATGTGGTAGAGAACCAGGATTAAAAAACCGCTTAAATCAAGTTAAATCGGTAAAATAACGGCACCAGAAGCAAACAACACACGTATGGAATAAGGTAAGCCATTTTTATTTAATATTTTCACTTTTAACTATCTCCATGAATATCTTGTAGAAAATCCCATACAAACCCTTATAAATCGATATGCAAATTGTGTTCCTTAAGACCACTTTCATAAATGACTGCCCGATTAATATTCTTTTGTTTAAATTTAAATTAGCCTTTCTGGCCTCGTTCTCCAGTACAAAATTCAAAAGAATACATTATCTCAAGCGAGGCCAGAAAGGCTAATTTGAATTTAAACAAAAGAATATTAATCCGGCAGCCATTTTTGAAAGTGGTCAATAGCCGCGTGGTAAATAGCGTCTGGCGCTGAAGGTTTGTCTCGCACTGCAATGAGTGTCACATGATTTGTTTGATTACTGACCTCTTAAATTCAATTCTTACGGAAACAACGAAGACTAAGAACTCTCTATCCCTATCAAAATTTACTCATATAGATGCTAGTTACCTTGGGAAAATGTGTGTCAAAATGACATTAATGAATCCGTGACCTTCCCTTTGAAGCACTGAATTCGGCAAACTTGAAGAAACACTATCTTGTCTTGAAAGAAAGGACAGAGTCAATGGTAATTCGGTTGAAATGACGTGCTTTATGGCCCTAGAGAGGCTAGAATAGGCCGGCTCTTTATATCTTAAAGTTTGTAAGCTCATTCCACGTGCACTGACTGTGACAAATGTGAATATTAATTTTTATATTATTTTGTGATTCGAATGACTTTGTCGACAATGAAGGCGGACCAAAGAGCATCAAAAAGCTCTACGCCGGTCTTAATCGTCTCATCGTGAAACAAAATATTGTTATTTTCCGAAAAGCAGGGTGTATTGTCTCTCGTTCAGTGAGTGACATTCACAAGTTCAAGTAGTTAGGAATAAGGGGAGAGGAAAATGTTTTGCTTATAGCTAATTTAAAAATTACATAACATATAGATAAGAATCAGCCTGGAGAAGAAGCTAAGACTCCTCAATATTTACATTACACAGACAAGATTATTTTTAACCTTAAGTTGGCAGAAACATCAGAACATTCAACAATCACGCCCACCGCTTTAATAAAAGAAATAAAGAAGAGAGAGCCTGGGTACGAGGTTGGGATTAATTATGGATTGTTTGTGATGGGCCTAACTCTAGAAGCGAATTTGTTTCCTTCGGCGTGTAGTTTATAGCACGCAAATACGCAAATAAAGCTATTGTTAATGTATGTTTAAGTTGAAAGAGACATTGGTTTACTGAACGAAATTAGTATACAAAATAAAACAGCAGTAATAAGGACCAACAACAGAACGAAGGTAACTCCAAAAAGTTTTGCAACTTTGAATCAAGAGTGCTCTGTAGCTTAAAGGCGGAGCAAAGCGATTCCAAGCTCGCTCCTTCACCCAAATAACAGATCTGATAATATTGTTCATTCCTGAAGACTAATCAGCGCAAATATTAAGGAATAAATCAACAAAAAAAGAGGTAAAATGAGTCGACAAAAGAAACTTTAACAAATATGTATTCCAAATATGTATTCCACAATAAGTAGTTGGACAGTTGGAAATAAGTAGTGAACCACGTACGGTTAGAAATTTTAATGAAGTATTTATCAATTTTTAATTCTTCCATTCCAAGAATGTTAACATTATAATTACATCTAATTCTTATATCATTCTGGACCGAAAAACAGATGTTTGAACACTTTACAGAACAAGAATCACAGAACAAAAATTTTAACTTCAGTTTTTAATAACACTTTTTTTTAATAATAATAATATTTCCCGAACTTAATTAAAGTTCACCTAATATTGCGTGAATTAGCAGCAAGCACGGATGGTTTTCACTTCGGGATCGTGTGATTTCATCCCTTATCTCATGTGGGGCTCACATGTTTCCTTGCATATACGGATATCTTTACCAAATATGGCAAACGTAAACACATGAGGCGCCAAAATAAGAACACAGCCCTCCCGGGTAATCAAGGCTGATATGATCGTGTGGGGAGCAGCCTGTGGCAAGAAAAATGGCTGGTTTGTGACTTTATCAACCGGGTTTAGATAGACCTGAACAGATCTTGGTTTTTGTCCTTGAGATGGAAAACCCTAGAATGGACCAATCGTCCATAAGAAAGCCATGGTTTCTACTTTCCCAAGCGAATTGTGAAACGCCTCTTGTTCAAGTAAGCTCCAGATTATATGTTGCAGCACTTGCTTCCTTTCTTGGGAACTTGACTTAATTTAACTTACCTCCAAAACCGCCCTTTCCGCTGTTTGAGGGTTCTGTCTTTTGTATTTGATTTAGGCATCCTTGAGACCAGCCGATCCAACGGAATTGAGAACGATCTTTAATAAGGTTTGTAAATTTAAAGTTTCGGTGAGGATAGCCGTTTATTTCTATCTCCAATATAATAACTTGTACATTTGATTTGCCTTAAAAGGTTTTTAACGGTACTTGTAGACTGTAAATAGGCTACTAAATGACTAAAAGCAGCCTAAATACCAATTTTGCAGTCCCCCGACTGAGTGATGCTTTTGATTTCGTTGCAAATCCATGTTAAGTACGAAATGCAATCGACACTTTCGATTTAAACGCAGGGCTTTAAAATATTTGATCAAGTAAAAGGCATTTAGAGACCTGTCTGTTTATGTACTGTCTACTCTATCACAGGGCATGTTTTGAGCTTCATCTTTATCGCAGATCTTAAGATGAAGGATAGTCTTGTCCAAATATTTTTGTTTGGAAAGCGTTTAAGTTTACGCTCTCACAATATTGATATCGTCAAATCTGTCCAAGTTCTTATCTCAGGGGTGGGGGCCTAACAGCTGAACGAGGAAAAGGATGAAACATCATCCTTCCTCCTTCACCCTTCCACCTAGCTTTCTATTCTTTTGTCCATGTCATCCTCCTTTCAAGATATGCAGTGTCCAATTGTACAAAAATGTAATAAAACTGCTTTTACATGGCTACTAAAGTGCAAGCAGCTCTTAAGCTGGGTTGATGTGTCAAACATTACCCTTACAGCAAATATCCAACTTCTAAGACTTGCTGTAAAATAGCATCCTTCCTGCCAAAGAGAGATCTTTATTTAGGATATGGCCATCTTGATTGTCAATTAACCCAGGCTTAGAATGATTTCGATAAACAATTATACTTACAATAAAATAATTACATCACAAGCATTTTGACCTAGAAATCTCTAGAGACATTTTTAAACATGCCAGGGCCTGACACCCCTGTCTGCAGGGTATGGCAGATTAACACATATTTTCTGTTTTTTACAATACATTTCACCTAGGAGAATTGCTATTTTGTTGAGTTCTACCGTACTCTGCAGACTGGCTGACAATTGCATTGTAAATGCTAATAATAATGGTTTAGAGGAAAGTATGTACAGGTCATAGGAACAGCAAAACTCTAAATGTTGGTTGGAAATTAGAAGGATGGTTGTTTTTTACCCAGTTTCAGTTGACTGCTTGTAAATTGCACTGCTCTTTGACATAGAGGAATTGACCAACCATTTACATATTGTTTGTAAAATTTGCTTCTGTACTGTTTTCTTGATATGACAGTCAAATAATTCCACTGGCAATTGTGGTAAAGAACATTATGTGGCCAATTCTGATATTCTGACAACAAAAGCTTGAAATTGATCTATTGAGTAAAAGAATGAGCCAAAATGTTCAGGTTTTGTTATGTCTAACTTCTGGTAATGCTACAAATGATAGATAATACCCTCCCCGCCCCCCCTCCTTGCCCCCTGTTTTCAATCCCTGGAAATTAATTAGTTTCCAGGGAGCATTTCAGAGCATTCATGGTATTGTTCATTTTCTACTTTTTCACCTAATATAGTGGATAGCAGTTACATGTATGTGTAGTTAATACACTGTACCAGTGCACACAACTGTGCAACGTGTCTTCTGTGAATTCCATAGTAATGTCAGTGTGAGTTGTTATTGCGATAATATCACAAGACTTTGATGCTTGCCTAGCTTTATAATTTGAAATGTTGCTCTGGATTATTTTATTTGGAAACCTGTAGTATGCCACAGTGGAAAAGGATGATGAAAAATTTATGACACCAGTAAATCTCATCCGAGACTATCTTGGAATGCAGAAGGTAGAGGAGTACAATGAAACAACTTTGAATCTTCTTGCTGGATGTGTCGACCAAACTAAAGATGGGTATGTTTGTTTTATTGAGAGGTTAATTACCATATCATTAAAGTTCTAAAAATAATAACCCCTTGTCATCAAGAATCAATTTAAACAAAAAACAAATGGTGAGCTTCCTTCTTGTTTAAATAACTGTATCATCCTGCTCAGTTTACATTTGCACATAATTCTTGAAATGTTTCTATGCAGATTATCTAACAGGATCCATTTTACCCTTGACAAATACTTCTTCAACTTCAAGTGGAAGTATTGAACAACTTCTTTAATTAGGAAAGCACCAAATCTTTCTTAGATTGGGGGTTTTAGGGAAAGTAGAGGGATGAAATTTCAGAATGCAATTGACTCTTTTTTTTTTCTCATAGCTTAATCTCATTTAGTGAATTCTTGGCATTTGAGGCTTTGCTGTGTAACCCAGGTGCTCAACACAAGATTGTTTTTCAACTTTTCGATCTGGATGGGAAAGGATCAGTGACATTTGGTACGTTGCTTGGAAAATGAAAGAAATTTTCTTTATGATGAATATTCATCGACTTCAGGAATTTTTTTTATTATCTGTAGGAATTTACTGTATGTATACAGCACAATTGTGGGTGAAATTGGTCCTTTTTAGTTTAAATTCTCTTGAGCTAGTTGAAATTTTGATTTCTTTCTTGTATTCACTGGTTTAGCATGAAACCAAGAAATCAAACATGAAACCAAGAAATCAAACATGAAACTGTGTGTCTAAGAACAAATGAAAACATGAAAAATTTATTTGAAGTGGTGTTCTATTCACTATTGGGTTTGAGTAGGAAAGCGATATAAACCAAGCTCTCAGTATAGTTGATGTATGAAACTGTCTTTATGCAAGTGATCACATCAACTGATCTTTATGATTAAAATTGAATTATGAAAGAAAAATAATAAGTAGAACTCATTTTGATGGAATCTTTCAACTATAAGACTGTTTAGGTAGGTGCTAGGACAATAGATAACAAGTTGCTGAGATTTGTCGTGGAGACAAGATGCAATGTGATCTGGAGATACACCTGGTCGATATTGTCCATGTATGCAGTTTGAGAAAATATCTTGCCTTGTGAGTTGCATACATTCAAAGTAGTTTTAATTAGTGCAATAATGAGTAGCTCTGACTACATATGTAGCTTTGGAAACAGCATACATGAAGTCACTTGTTACCTATATGTTTTGTGTATTCAGTAGACTATAATAACCATCGTCACTTACATTTTACAGATGAGTTTGAAAATGTTATCAAGAAGACAACCTTTTTCAGCAAAATAAACTTCAATTTTGACACTGAGTTTGTCAAGACATATTTTGGGGTTGACAAAAAAGCCCATGTTCGTTTTGATGACTTTTCACATCTGCTACAGGTTTGTACATTTTTTTTTAAACAACTTTATGGAATAAATATTCTCCTTGCAATTTACCACTTTAATCTCAAAGAGCCTCAAATTTATGTTAATTTCTCTCATGTTTTGCAGGATTTGGAGAAAGAGTACCAAAGACAGGCTTTTTTCCAAAGTAAAATGCCTGATGGTGAAATAACTGCTGTAAAATTTGCAGAGATAATGAAAGTTTTACGAGGGCACAAGCTGTCTCCATTTGTCAGAGAGTACCTTCTGACAGTAAGAACTGGTTTTGTTTCTTTCTTTTCTTCACGAATGAAGTAAATTCCCAGAGGTGCCAACATCATTAATCCTCAAACCTCAATCTAGACATGTTTGATTTTGGATCACACAACCATTTTTAGAGAGAATTGGCATGTACATAATAAATGCAGTTTAAGAACTCTCTAAAATAATTGCATTTGGAGCCATAAAGGTTCAGTCCTCACGAGATGTCAACTGTAAGAGTGTTCATTCTTATGGGATGATTAGCTTTACCTTTTACAACCTGATATCAGTATGTAAAGGTAAAGGTAAAGCCTAATTAGGAGCCATATGGCTCATCGAGCCGGCGCTTAACTGCGGTTTCTGTCGCATGAAGCGACAAGGAGTATTTCTACCCTCCCCCCCTGGATGGGATGCTAGCCCATTGCAGGGTCATCCCCCAGTATTAAATTCGCTGGTACCCATTTAATACACCTGGGTGGAGAGAGGCACTGTAAGAGTGAAGTGTCTTGCCTAAGAACACAACACGATGTCCTCGTCCGGGCATCAACCCCGGACCACTTGATCCAAAGTTGAGCCCACCAACCAGTATATATTTTTTCCTTATGGTCCTGTTTACATTTCCTTAGGTGCTGACAAGGAGAATTTGTTTAGCAATCAGGGGTTTCTTTAGTTGGTGATAATTTCCTTTAGTCCCATGATATATACCTTGATATATGATTCAGTGGTGATAATGTGAAGAGTTTAGGGGTCAAAGGGTTGAAAATGTAACCTCGTACAGTGGAACCTCGATTTAAAAAAGTGCCAAGCGACTGGGGAAGTTAGTTCGTTATATCAAGGGTTAGTTATATCAAGGTTTTGTGGCATACACTTTTACTGTAACTTTAGCTGGGCTGAAGCTGAAATATCATTCATTGTACAGAGGACTTTGTTATATAGAGGTTTGTTGAAACAAGGTTCCACTGTAGTAAAAATGCATCTGATCAGTGTACATTGCTCTCAGAACTGTACAGTCATGTAATGTTCCTCTGTTTGCAGGCTGTGAGTGGAGAAGGTGGATACCGTGTAAGCTATGGTTATTACAGAGCATTCAACATAATGTTAGATCATGCGCAAGTTCTCCATGACATGGCAATCAAGGCTGCAAAAGGGAACCGCTTTAAAGAACTTAAGAAAGGTACGATGGCTGACCCAAATGTTAAAATATTGTAATATGCTGCTGATATGTATAAATTTAAAATTAAAGTCAGTAGTCTGGAAAGACTTATCTAAAACTTGCACCAATTGTTCAAAAAGTGTCAATGCTTTATGTGGCAAAAACATTTGGAATGGAAACTTTGCTGGTCACTTGCTTGCTATAAACATGGCACGTGGCATTTGGTAACAATCATGCACTTTTTAGAAAAAGCAGGTTTCGAATTGGGGGGGGTAGGGGTAGGTGGTGCTTTGCCATGCTACTATTTTATAGTCATCGGTGATTGTGGTAGTTGCCTTGTATGCTGCATTGAAAGCTATGGTTTTGGGAGTTTTGAAAGGGGTCATATTTGGGGCTTATCAGCAGAATCATCCTAGTAGGTCAGCCCGTAAGGTTCCTAAATTTGAATGACATACATTGTACATGAAGTAACTGTAGCTTCTTCCAACTTGAACAATGTATGTGTAAGGTAATGTACAGTACAGTACAGTAAGTTACAATGTGACTTAACATGCACAGTGTGTGTAGTTATTAACACAAACATTGCAAAAAGGCCGTTTACATTTTGGTTTATACATGTATTGCAAATACACATTTATTGAATGACACTGTAGCTCAGTTGTTAGAGCATCCGACTAGATCACGGAGGGTCGTGGGTTCAAACCCCACCTGGAAACTCGATTTTTAAAAATTGTTTATTACATTTTTTTTGCATTAGAAATTATATCAGTAGAAAATGATTTTTTTTTTTAAGTCAGAAAAAAATTATCTAGTAAAAATAGCTGGTTGTAGAGAGTGGTTGAACTCCCTGTCAACACCCTTTATTTGTTATTTTTTTTTTCTCAGCTGACATCTTAAATGAGGCCAAAGCTGATGCTGAGGTATGTAGAACACAGTCTTTAAAGTTATTGAAATTTCAATTTTTTCGAAGATTGCAAGGGTAACTAAGGTGGTAAACAATATTTTATTGACATTTCGGGAGAAAAGAAAAGGTACACAGAAAAGAAAAATTTTGTTTCTCAGATTAGGAAGAGCATGACAAATTGCTTCCGTTAGTTTGTAATTGGTCAGGTTTCATCAGTCTCTTTTCAAGCCTCTGCTAAGCGAAGTTGGTTCTTTCAGAATGTATTTGTTCTCAAAAAAAAAAAAAAAAAAATCACAAAAATCTGTAATAGTAAACCCACAGCACTTTGTGCCAAACATTGGTTTAATTAGCCTATAAAAGCTTTGTCTTCCCTTTGGAATCATGAGCAAATTGAGCTCTCTATTCAAGTTACCCTCAAAAGGACCCTCGATTGTCTTGAGCCTCAATCGTTGACTTAAGACGGTCATCTTACTTTTGAGAGGTTTTTTAGCTCAACTGAGGGAATATCTTTTTAAAGCTATTTTTTCAAGTACTGTACCAAATTAATTTTACTGTTTTAGATCATTTCCCTTGTAACCTCCACTCTTTTCTTCTTGCAGATCACACCTCTTGTTATTGACATTCTTTTTCATCTGTGTGACTTGGAAAACAGGAGAGGGTAAGTGAATGGTGGATGAACCACTTCCAACTAGGGTTAGTTCCTAAAGACTGCAGACCAAGTTAGACAAAACTTTTGCTTCTAAATTTGCTCACCGGTGGTATCCAATGAGTAAATTGCAGTTTCTGCAAAATAAGCTGGACTGTCCATCACAGTGGCGGATCCAGGGGGAGGGTCCGGGGGGTCCGGACCCCCCCACCTATCAAACCTGAAGCTTACAACTTTGAGACAGGATCGTACATCACTTTTAACTGGCTGATTTTTTTAATGAATCCAAATAAACGGTAAGCGGCCAAGGAATAATAACTTGCAACCGCGACTGGTGGGTGGGGGAGTGGGGGAGAAGTAATTTGCCTCAAAGAGTCCAACAGTCCTTTCTGAACCAAAGTTTGGACACCCCCATCAAAAATTCCTGGATCCGCCTCTGCATGATCAGACCACGCATAGTATTCTTCACGTAAACCTGTAGGGGACTGATGCCAATCAGACATAATAAAGAAGAACGTCACCCATCAAACAAGGAAGAGTGATATATGGAGTTATGAACACTTTACACCCTAACATCAGTGTGCATATTCTCCATACAGTTCTCTATACATTTCTTAAAGTGCTGGCAAGGAGAATTTGTTTAACAATCAAGAGCTTCTTTAGTCGGTGATCATTTCCTTTACTCTCGTGACCTTAATGTTTGATTCAGGGGATGTTGTTAAAAGGAGAAATCAGATGTTAATCACTCTCTGGGATTGAAGGTTTAAATTGTTACAAGCTCTTCTCAGTCATTGTAGACTTTCATAATCTCACCAATTAATACAGTAAACCAGCAAACCCCAGTACAGGCTCAACTGTTTAATTTATCTGCCAGAAGTGATTAACATGTAACATAATATCCATACAATACCAAGAAAACAGCTAATGAGAATACTCAAACATATAAGGTTTACTGGTAGTTTGTTGTCTTGATCTAACACCAAATTGTCTTAGCTAATTTAGAAGGAAAATTTATTACAGCCAGAGAGGAGAGTTAACAATCGCGTCTTTGGGAGTTAGAGGGTTAAATATTCACCACCCGTAATCTTTCGCTTTTCTCTGAGGAGGGGCAAACACTAAATACATTTAGTATTTCTTAACTCTTTGACTCCTTGAGAGTGACTAGCTTCTAATTTGTCCTTAAAACATAACCCATGAATCTCACCTAAAGGCCACATGGAGAAAAGAAATGATCACCAACTCAAGGAGTTCTTGGTTACTAAACAAATTCTCCTCGTCACACTCCTTGTATATGCATACTGTTGTTAAGGTGTTAGGGGTTCACTCAGACTCAGCACAACTTAAGCAGCATTACCACATCCACTCGCTCTATTTTCAAGCACAATTCGTCACAGGGTAGACTCTTGGTCAAAGCGTGATCCATCCTTGGCTGTTATTTCTGTACAACATTTGGTTTTATCAGGTGTAATTTGCTTTTGCATATTTCAGCCGGATCACAGTGTCAGATGTGCATCAGATTGTTCCGCGCCGAGATGTGTTTAAAGTTTTCTCGACGGAAAGAATTGAAGAGGAGGTGTGTCAAGAAATGGCCCCTTTATCAATAAATTAGTAGTTCTAGAGAAATTCTGTTGATTCAAACATTGTAACCATTTTGCTTTTACCAAGGGATGACCCTAATTACTCTTAAAATGTATTAATTTACCAGCTCAGAGTTTTACGTTTTACGTGATTGCCAACACAACGCTATAAGATCGATCATTACAATAACGGTATAACCACTGTAGGTCATAATCTACCCAGTACTTGCGGTTGATAATACTTATAGAACTCTAGTTACCAAGCCGGCTGTTCTACTCCAAGTCCTAAAATCAAGTATTCGTCGTCTAGCAGGTTTTAACTCGAATTCTATTTTCGTTGAGAAGAGTTAAAACCATTTTGATAGAGTCTTTGACTCCTTTCTTGCTTGAGTTTTTTTATTAAACTGATTTGAAATAAGGAAGATAACAGCAATAATTAGGAATTTTTACCTTGTAAAGCCTTTCAAAACACTTACCTTTTGATCTTCTAACTTCCTCGATTTGAGACAAACAAGCAAAGGGAACAAACGTTGAAAGTTTTGTCAACACCTTTCTATGGTGGTTGATTGTTAAATTTCTTTACTAGTCAACTGCTTAGTTTTTCATTTACTTTTGTGTATCTTTAATACGTTGCTCCTGCTTCTCTGACTATGTAGCAGATGATAATTAAACCAAAAGATGAAGAAGTTTCGGCCTTATGGAAAGCCGTGGAGCAGGTTTATCGATTTGGACTTGGTTCTATTGCTGGAGGTAAGCTTTGTTGAAATACACCTTTACACTTGTGAAGTCTTGTTAATGCTTGAAACCGAAAGTGCAAGTAGTTGTGGTCCATCGTGTTATGTGTTCTCATTCTTGTGGTTTTTTACCTCTGTTCTTTGTGTACCATGTACACATCTACAGATGAAGGCGTTAGAGAAGTCTTGTTATTGCAGCACTCACTTTGAAAATTATCATTAACGGGAAAAAGTAAACGAATTTCCCTACATTCAAAGCGCGTTCATGTATTAGCTATTCTAGATTAACAGGTATACTACGCGCCCTGATAGGTCAAAACCAGGCTAGAGTCAAAATTCTATTGTGTCGATAAATCCGTGACTATCATATGAAAGGATTAAACCACATCTTCCGTCGAATTACTGGTGTTTTAACTTACTCTGGATGCTGATAGAACCTTCAAAAATTTTCTCTCAACATCTTACGAGGGTTGTTACGCCGCCGGTTAAACGGCTGACCTAACCGCTCGAAGGCGCAGCAGCAGTTTGAGTTAACCCCATTGTGGCTGCTCGATTTGCTGATTAGACTACAAGTCTCGTCTCACCTTGCCTGTCTGTGAGGCTAGCGATAAAGTGTATATACTTTCAACCAAAATCACCTCCCGGTTAGCTCAATTGGTAGAGCGCCGGACTGTTGTGCGGGAGGTCGTGAGTTCAAATCCGGCCGGACCAACACCAACACTCAGGGTCTTTAATTAACTGAGAAAAAAGTGCTGCCTTTGTAATAATATCTGCAAATGGTTAGACTTTCTAGTCTTCTCGGATAGGGAAGTTAAATGGAGGTCCCGTCTCCTGCAGGGTTGGGGTAGGAGACGTTAATTTCCCACACACGAGATTACTGTGTGATGGATGTCCTCCCCGGGGT